ATCCTCAGTCACTAGTACCACAATCTGCATTTTACAGAAGTGGTTTCCCAGTCACAGAGTAAGTCATTGTCCTGGTTAAGCTTCTGTTTAGCATGGGATAGGAACAGGTAGTAAGTGTCCCCATTTTTAACTTGACATAACTTGTTCATCTGTTCATACTCTTAGCAAAGGTGTTTCACTTTTTAGATAGGTTACATTTTGGGACTGTCATTTTTACAGTGTCTTTAAATAGATATTTATTGTTAATCACATTTACACACGTAGCATTAATGTAACATAATGAAACAACTCCCTCTACAGAAAGATAGCAAACTCATACTTGTATTATGGAAGGTATTTGACTTATATAAATTAAGACTTAGGGGAGCTGGACTACATAAGCTCATGAGGTCTCTTCCCGTTCTACTTTATGGTCTTATAAATGCAACCATATTTTCCTATGATCCTATGATCTTATAAATTCAGAGAGGTCCCAGGGTAGAGAGGAAAACTAAGACAACCATACAAAAGTACAAACAGAGGACTAAAAATACTATATAATATATCTTTATTCTTAAAAGAAAACCAGCTACTAATTTAAAATATCGCAACCAAATCAGCTTAAAAAGAGAAGAGGAAAAAGTCACATACCCCTAAACCCCTATCTTTATACAAGGCCTTTACCCAGAAATCCTGAAACTCACATGAAGGCAAGTAAAAATCTGGTAATTTACTGAACCTCTTTTCTCTGACAGACATTTCTCCTACTTTTGTAAATAATAACTTTTACGCCTTGCATTTCTTTGAAAAAAAAGATTCAGGAAATGATGCATGAAAATGAACAGGTGCCTGACATTGAGAAACTAGATCAGCAGGAGTTCAATCTGGATGCAGAAGAACAAGAAAGGCTGCAACTGGAGAGTGAACAGGAAGTGGCCAGGGTAGGTTAAATAAGATGGAAAAGTTTAAACTGATAAAGGTGAAATAAAGAGAAGGAATAATAAGAAAAGAGCAAAAACATTTGCAATACATTAAGTTGAGAAGCAGTTCAAATGTGATTGAATACCATTAAAATATTAATAATTGGAGTTATCTCACTAGAATGAATTTGGTTGTTTACTTATGAATGTCTATCAGTGGAATAGAGGGTCATAGTTCTGAGGGGAGCACCTGCAGAGCAACTACATTTTGACATCCTTATTTATTGTTGTACTAAATACAATTATTCTTCCTCAAGTGGTTGTCCATACATATTCCATGGTAGCTGAGCATATCCCAGTGTGCACAAGTTCAAATTCCTTTTGGATAGTGTCTATGGGAGCTGGATCTGAGCTCTGTGAGCCCTCACAACCACCATTACTGAAGGTAATAGGTGTCCCTGGTGGAACCTTCTCTGGATTGTCTGTCCATATCCCTGTGGTCCATCCGCAGGAGAGACTGCCTGGAGCACATGTCTCAACAAGCCCAAGATGGCAAAGTCTACATTCAACTTCTGTACTCTCCACCTTTGTTCCCCTTTTGTAGTGTGCAGAGCAGGAGCATGTGTTATATCTGTGGGATTTTGTTGGGGGACCCACTGAAAACTGCTTTATTTTACATCCCCTCCTTTTTTCCTATATACCTTAAAGGTAAGGAAGGAGATTGAGATGGAGAACCTTGCCAACTGCTATTTGCGTGACATTCTCAAGCAGCAGTGCTGGGACTCCATGTCTGTCAAAGGACGTGCAGTTAAGGTAACTTCTACTACCACTTCATTTCCTGCTTTTCCCAACAATAGTTTGAGTCATAAAAGTACTGGAGCTCAGTATGGAGAAAAGTTACTACAATTCTAGCTTGCAGAGTGTCTGGGAAAGAAGTTGTTGCTTCGCAAAACACATATGAGCCTTTCATTTAGCAACCTGAGCTTGGAACCCTGATAGCTCTGAGTTCAAGAGAAATGTTTCTTTCTGATAAAAAGCATCCATGTAATACCATACTGTTACAAAATCCTTTCATACAGAGTTTCTCACGTAAGTGTTGGTTATCTGATGAAGTGAACTTGGTTTTATGAGAGCTTGTGCTCTAGATATGTATCTTTTTTAGTTAGTCCCTAAAGGTGCATATTGGCCTTTCCTTCAGGTTAGTATTTACCAAAGCAAAAATCTATTATATTTCTAAATGCAGCTAGTGTAACTACTACTGCACAAAAATACAAGGAAGGGAGTGTCAGAAACACTCAGAAAGACCCCAAGGATAATGCCAGCCTCAATCCTGCACCTAATTTCACTAAGGTGGACAAGATCATGCACTCAAAAAAGCTTTTCCTTTTTTAAATTTCAAAATATTTAAAGTAAAGTATCTGATAACATCTGAAGACCTTACAATATTGTCCTACTCATGATTATTCCTCAGTTTTATTCATAACAATAAAGGGACTTACTGTAGCCATTTATTGTCTAGGTACAGAACAATCAGGTGGCCAATGTTTAAGTATAACTTTTTATTTAATTCCCTCCCATTCTACAAGTCCTTCCATACCGCTTATGAGGTAAAGAATTATCCTATGAAGGAACGGGGTAAAGAAGAGCTGGAGACTTTGGAGAAGGTCCTGCAGTTAAAGAAGATTGAGTGTGCTGATCTTAAGGTGCAATGTGTCCAACAATTCCTGCTCTGTAGAAGTGTATTTTAGCTTGGGGTCTTCTCCACAGATATCTTAGCCAGACTTAAGGACAAGGCTGTCCAACTTCTAAGCAGCCAGGGGCCACGTACCTCATGGGGTGCAAGCCCTGCAGGCTGTACCACTGAGGGTCACAGGTCTCTGGGCTCTACGCCACGTGGATGACCCCCATTGCACCATGCACCCGCACCCCCTCTCCATGCTGCAGCAGGCACCTGCACGCATTCCCCAACCCATCACACCAGTAACCCCGTGGGGGCTCCTGACCCCAGTGCTGCAGTGCATGCCTGCATGGCTCCCCAGTGCTATACCATGCGCCCACATGGGTGCTCCCCCCAACACAGCACTGCACACTGTGTAGCTGTGACTTCAACCTGAGTGCCCTGCCCTGTGCCAGTGACACTGCACTGCGCCCTGGCAGGTCTACACTGGAGTAGGAAGAGAAAACCTGAAGACTCCAGCTGCAATATAGGAGGAGTTGCAGCCAGCTGGGAGCCCAGAGCCACAACTTAACCCCTTTAGGCCACCAGTTGAACAACCCTGCCTAAAGAGATAGGAGTATTAGTCTAAGTGATTAATCTACTGTGTTTTTGGATATTCAGATTCGGAAGGAGATTATTGAGTTTCAGCTTCCAACAGTATCATCAAAAGAGGAAGGGGAGAAAGTAGAAGAAGACGTGGTGGCTGATGAGACCACACCCACTGCCTTGATAGGGAGCCTGAGTGCTCAGTACGGTGGAGATACAGCTGTCCTGTATCCCCAAATGGATCTGCACACCCGAGAGCAGAAGATTAATCAGATAATTTTACTGCAGGTGATCTCTCCATAAACGTTCATTGCTGCATTGATACTATTGCACGTACAGGTTCTTGGCCAGTCAGAATTGTTGTTGGATTTTTTTTCAGCAGTGTACTGTCCTGCTGAGGGAAAGAAAGGATAAACCCTCCCACAGTATCCCATTCCTCTTGACTCACTGTTCTCTCCTTGCTTAAAGCCCTATCTTCATCATTTAGTAAAAACATCAGTTCCTCTCCCTACCACCAGGTCTATTCCTGCTATCACAGCCATTTTATAAAAGTTAACAAAAGTTACAGAATAGTTTTGTGTCTGAGGATGTTCTGCATTGTGCCAGGTTGGAGTTGGTTAGAATACTGTACTGGATTCAGCACATCCTTAGAGCGATACAGGGTAACTGAGCCCTTCAGTTTTGTCTACCCAGAGTTGAGGGAGGCAGAGCTCTTCAATCACACAAGAAGTATAAAATCAGCAGATATCCCTGGGGTTTAAAATAAATGGGGAAGAAACAGGGAATATGCATCCCTGGCACCAGCCCTTTGAAGGAACAAGGCCTTTTCTGCTACATAAGGGCTTCCAAGATGCTGTTAGTATTTTTTTTAAGTTGGAAGTGATGCAGTGTCCTTGGTCCTTTCCTCCCAACATCAGTGCCATCGCTGCATTTCATGGGAGTAGAGCAAAGGTCCAGAATCCCTACACTATTGGCATAAGTATACCCCTGCACCTGTGCTGTGCTGTGCTGTGCTATGTAGATCTTGGCACAGTCTAACACCCTGCCTGCAGGGAATCAAACTGCAGGATCTCAGGCATTGTTTATAAGGTGTTTTTGGATCCTTTGTGAGGCAAAATGCCATATTAATTTAAAATATGGATAAACTCCCATTGTCATTTGGCACTGCAGTAAGATAGGCTTCTTATGTATCCTGCGTGCTACACTATGCATTTCTGTTTATTGAGGTTCATTTTCTATGAAGCTGAATTCAGCCTTGGAGCAGAGGTTAGACAGCAGTGTGAAGTCAAACATCATTGCATTTTTTAACCTTGACATTTGTGTACCAAAAAGATTCAATGGAAGAGCAGTTCCAGCTCAGTCTACCCCGATATATGAATCTGGCATGCTGTCATTAGAAAATAGTGGGTTTAACATGAATTATAGGAGTTTAGTAAATGAGTACAGCCATTTTCCCCCTTCCTGCTGCATTACATCTCATCTGCCCTATTACCAGTAGTTTCAGAAATAGGTTGAGCAATCATGCATACAAGTACTTATTGTGACACACATTGTAAGCAGGTAGACATCTTGAAAGATGGACTTTAATAACTTAATTCAGCCCAGTTATATTTCATTCTCTTTAATAGACATAACAGAACAGGTGCATGTTTTTCTTTTTCAATAATCCAATTCTCCTTATTGAAATCATTTAGACTAAAGAAAGAATATACCTATTTAGATTACAGACCTTATAAAATGATTATCAAGGCTCTGGTCTGTTTCACATGCTTGTATCTTGCCATACTTATTAATTTCATTGGTACATTAAATATGTGCAATATAATGCTGTTCCAGTCAGACAATCACATTGCCAGAACATTAAGATTGCAGAAGCAATCAAAATCCAAGAAATAATTAAAAAAAGGTTGCCCACATGACCTTAATTCTGCTTCTTTGTATCTGGCCTTATGATACCATCTTTAATTATATATTTTTCTTCAGGACAGCTACTTCATTCAGAGTTCATGCTACGAAGCAAAGTGTGACTAATTTTTAATCTAATTTATATAAACTAAGAGAATGCTTTTTTCATAGGGAACTTTGGAAAAGACAAAAAGGAAATACCAGAAAAGAAATGGAATATTTCTAGGATAACAACAGAAAGAAATAATAAAAGGGTTTGCCAGTCTGTCCTTCTTATTTTTGCACTCACATGCTTAACAGAACCAGAATTCTACTTTTAGGGTTAGAAGAGGTTTACTAGTTTTCACACGTGTGCTTTGTTTTTCATTTCGTGGTTGGTTGGTGAGCAGCGTACAGGCATGAAATAGAAACATAACGCTGTCACCATTTCCTTGTATGGTATTTCAGGACATCATTTACAGAGTGAAAACTGCCTTTAACAAGGAATTTGACATAGTGGCTCGACAGAAGGAGCAGGAGATAGTAAGGGTCAAGGAAAGGAACCTGAGGATCCAGGAAATCTTAACACAGCTTGATCTCCAGGAGGAAGTCTGGGAACCGACTCTTACAGATGATGAGATACCAGAGCGTGTGCTCACTGTCCAGGATTCTGAGGTGCTGAAGAACACGGCTTTCTCTTTCATCTGCTACTTGTGCAAACATAGTTCTCTCCTTCTACCTCTTCAAGTCAGCATAGAAAACTAACTATAAAACTGATGTGTTATATGTATGCAAATTCACTCTTTTTTGTGCTTTGCCTTACTTTTTGGATTTTGATCTGTCCGTGTGTTGGTGGAATGTTCTGAATAATTCTGGATAGAGAGATGGAAAGAAATCTGTAGCATCTGATACTTAAATTGCCAGTAGCAAAAGTTTCTAGACTGGAACATCGGGCTGCCTGTGTATCCACAGCATAGGTACCCATCCTCCTTATCCTGCCGCCATTCCCTCTGTAAGGGAATACCTGCACAGGTGTGAGAGAGGATAGTTTGGTTTCTCTGCTCATCTTTGTGTCCTGTGATGCAGGTATGGAAATGACACAACTTATTTTGCAGATTTCTCACAAGAGCTATTTATTGCTGCTGACTGATGATGGATTGTGTTGGGAATTAGATTGAAAATCCCACACTCCTATTTTTTTACATGTCAGTTTTTGCAATATGATCTCTTTCCTAGCAGTCACTTGCCTTCTGTACAGTATCTGAATTTATCTCAAAGGGGAAGAATTAATTGGTGCTTGTATCCCTCCACTCTTAAGGCATCCATAACTTTGGTATCAGAACATTGATACTATAGCACCTCCAAATTCAGTTGGTAATTTATAGATCAACCGAGTTCCCAGCGCATGCAGCTCTTTTCATCTGACCTGCTCTTTCCCTTCTGTTCTCTCTGGCTTCCTAATTTTCCTCCTACTCCTGCTCTTTCAAAATGTGCTCTCATTGCCTAATCCTCTGTTTTACATCTTTCTCTAAAACACATGCCTCCTAGAAACACACATATCATTTTGTGCCAAGTTTGTAGTATAGGTAGTAAAACTTTTTTTCTTCGCCAAATGTCAAACCTGCTCAAAACCCATTGTTTTTTATATGTAAAACAAAATTTGAACTTGTTATCTGATGTACATGTAGCAAAATAACTGAATCTGCAACAGAAGATATCGGTGAAGACCTGCAAGGAAAAGAGTTATGTTAGCCATCTGGTCATAAATAATTTCTGGGAGGGAAATATACCAGTGTACACTGTTCCAATACTGCAAAACCCAGAGGTATAACACATAAAATATGACCCCTAGCAGAAAAATAAGAAGAAATAATGCTTACTAGCTTAGAATGTGGATTTTGGTCTATATGTTAAGAAATCTGTGCATTAACAAGCAAGCAAATTTCCTTCCTGATTGTTACTGTACAGCAGAGTTTAAAAGAAAATAAGCACTCTAGATCTTTATTGCTATGTTTTTCCAAAAGTTCATTGTCTGTTCTGCAAGTGAACTGTCTAGAGAAGAAAGCTGATTTGTCCTGTTTTTGTTCCTCCGCAGATTAAAGTGGAAAAATACCTAACCCCACAGCAGAGAGCAAAAGCAGAAATGCTGGCGAAGCTTGAAATGCAAAGGCGTCTTGCTGCTCAGGTATGTTTTTGAAGTACCATCTTCTTTTATAATCCTTTGTGATCAGAACTATAGACATCTTTTTAGGGCAAGTAAGGTTTCAGTTAGAGGTGCTCTTTTATATATGCCTAGTGCTGGTGAAAGGGGCCAGACTGACAGATTTAAGACTACATATCATTTTAAAAACACATTATAACTCAACTAAAAGTTTTGAACTCCATGCAGTTACCAGATAAGATTCTCTGACTTGTATTCTGCTGGAGTCAGACTAGAATATCATAATGACCCCTTCTAGTTTTAAAAACTCTGAAACTATACAACTATGAAAGCCCTGAAGAAAGACTGGACCATGGAACAAATGTATGTGACACAGACGATGATGGGAGCTGCTTTCCTTCTTCTAACCCAGTGATTCTCAGCCAGGGTACTGCAGCACACTGGTGTGCCTTGAGATTCTTTAGGATCAGTTGTGGTCTTTCAGAGTTCTTTGCTACAAAAAAGTTACTCTGTTATTTTTCTGTAGTCAAAAACAAGTGAAAATTAAGAGCTGGCATTTTCTGAAGAGTCTCTTGAGTCTAAAAAGGTTGAAAACCACTGTGCTTATGCAACACCACCATGACAGTAGTATTTGCTTTTCCACCTCCCCCCCGACCCCAAATCACTATTGTTCCAATTATAGTGATAGTAATATGGCATATGAGTGTCTGCCCACTAGGAAGTGGGCTAAAACTATTAGCTTATTTCATATAAATAAGGTAACCGAAAAGTGTTTCATTCACTAGTAGGACACTGGATTCAAACTGGAATCTTAGAGGTGATACACCCTGTCAGGTTCCCCAAAGCATCTAAGTCTTGTTTCTCAACAGCATTTTCCCTTTCTTCCCTTTTCTTGTTCAGGACAATGCAAGACAGCGTGCTCTTAATGACATGATGGACGGGGTCCTAGAGGTCAAAAAGGAAGACATCTTGAAAATGGTGAGTTTTGTTTCTGTCATAGGATTTAAGTAAAAGTTGCACTGACAAGAACTGAATAAAATTCAGTAGTTTACAATGTAACTAGAATTCCCAGATGTTCCCAAAAAACCCCCTCCAGTCCCAGCCAACCACTCTCACCCGAGGCTGGACATTGCAAAATAAGGCTTTTTTGTCAGAAAGAAGATTTGTGTTGAAGATAGAGGCCTACGTTTTCATAGGCTGCCCCAGAATGTAAAGGTAGAGCAAATGCTTTCACTGAAGCTGGTTTCTTTAGTTTAAGCAGGAATTAAATTTCCTTGGGGATTTGCAATGGAAACAACTGCCTCATCTTTTAGTCAAAGTATTACTATTAAACCCCATGGTAAAGTCACACTAGCATTTTATTGCATCTGATAATGATTGTCTATGAAAGAGTGAAAACAAAAATGACCATATTGACAACCATTAGTGCCACAGGAAAATGCAGTTATTGCTCCGTTCATGGCACATGCAGTAGAGCAGTGATTCTCAATCAGGGTGACGGGGTACCCAGGGGTGTTGCCAGATCTTTTGACAGGTGCCGTGAGGTGTGAGGAGGTAAGTGAGATGTTAGAAGATAAGCAGGTGAATTAAGCAGATAGATAACATGGACTTAGGCTTGTTCTTTCCTGGATGATCCCCCATCCCCATGGCAGGGCCTGTCTGCAAGGAAGCTAGAACTGTAATATATAAATACGTTTTTGAAATTGGATGCCACTCAAATTGCAGAAGTTGTGGAGGGGCCTCAAGTCCAATGAGGGGAGCCTTGAGTCCGAAAAAGGTTGAGAGCTACTGCTCTGGAGGAAATGCTGCCATCACTCCAGGAAGTGAGGAAACATAAAATAGTGCCTAATTAGAATATGTTATGTTCCTTGGGTCCAAGTCAGAGTACTACTTCAAGCTGTCCTGAAGAGAAAGCTTTCAATAAACTCTGAAGGTGCATTTCTAGTTTTTTGAGTTTTGTAGTTTCTTTTTAACATTGTCTAAATGGAAAATTGGCATTGCTCTTGAAATATCTTGCTCTTTTAATGTTTTCAGGAGATACCCCCACCTCCTTTTATATCCAAACCCGACACCCTTTGGAATGAAGAAGAAAAGAAAATATTTAAGGAATATGAGAAAAAAATCAAGGAGCTGAATGAAGAAAGAGAAAAACATAGAAAGGTAAAATAAAATGGGAAACGGTAGTTCTCTTTGCTGTCTTCATCCGCAAAGTTTCTGATCTCTTTCAGATCAGAAATTCTAACAAGTGTGGTAAGTTAAGAATATGGTGAGCTGCAGTGGTGTCCAATTTAGAACAGAAACAGTGGTGTTTACCTGTGATAACTCATACATGCCTTTCTTGACAAAATTGTTTTCACTTCCCATCACCAACCATTTGTGATGGTCCCAGGTTACCAGCACAAATGTACATATAGTTTCCAAAACACCGTTTAGAATTCATTTGCTAGAGTTGCCAGGAACAGTGGTATTAGACACATAACATCCCATTTTATATCCTTCAGCTTCAAATTTGGGCAGCATGACCTATCAGCTTTGCTGTAACTTCATTTCAAATGCACAGCTTGTTTGGCATCTGGTGAAAGCATCACCCCATGTAGAACACTGTTTGTGATGCCTGAATCCAAGTACAGCATTTATCTGATGGTAGAAATAGAGCTTTTTTCCCATGATGGGTTGAATCCCCCCTACGCTGTCAGAGCTGGTTTAAACAGGTCTGTGCTAAGCTATTGCAAGGAAAGCCAGGGTGTGAATTTATGGCACATCAGCTCCTCCTGTGGTAACTGCCTCTGTGCATGCTCTTACCTTATCCTGCTCTCATTAAGGAATAAGCTATTTCAGCTGCATCTGGCTGGCTCAGAGTAACTGATGTTCTGTAAGATCACACTGTAGCTTACTTCACGGTGCTTGTTCATGGGCCCACACCCTTAGGTTTGTAACTGTTATTGACAGTCAATGATCAAAGCAGTTTTTATTTTTAAAGAAGGAGCTATAAAGAAAATAATTGCAAAAATTATATCCAGACCCAAACACTTTCATTTAAATTGGTGTGTTCTTGTCTGATTTTTAGCTTCCATTACTTTTGAAAGGGGTTGAAGGAACTCAGCACTTAGAAAAGATGTTAGACAAACATATGAAATGTTTTGGTTTTTACAGGTCTTGAGTTTCCACTTGAGCAGAATGTAGTAAAGCTGGCAAGATGGCCTCTGAAGGGAAATGATCTTCACTGAGTTGTGATACCAAATTAAATATTATCCACTTTGATAAAAAGAGAGGGGTTTCTGTTTATACAAAAGTCTTAAGAACAACGTCTGTCAGAAATGATTTAGTAGGGTTGGAGTGTTGTTGTAGGCATGATGATCCAAGAAATATGCAAGAAGCAAGGGGTTTTTAAATGATGTCTTTTTATTGTATTAATTGTATAATTTAGAGAGATGTTAGATAAACTTTGGGAAACAAAATCCCCTTCTTTAGATTTAGGCATAGTTGACCCTGTCTTGGGATAGAGATGATATATTAGATATGATCAAGGTCTCTTCCAGCCCTATTTCCTATTTTGATATAAGACCCTATCTAGGAGACTTTGTGTGTGTGTATTACTTATTAACTGAACTGCATCAGTGCCTGGGGACCCCAGTTCTGAATGAGGCCAGCAGTCTACAAATACAAAACAACAAGGTAGTGTCAGCCCCAAAAAGCTCACTTCCTGGGCAGTCACCCACCCACCACTAAACCACACAAACTCCTAAATTACTTGTTTCCCTGAAGTTTTAATACTTCTTCTCCTCCACCAGATACTAGAAACTGAACTGAAAAAACTGCAAACAGCAATTCAGGAAACAACGCAAAGTTTCGATGACACTGTATGCAAGCTCTTCGAGAAGAAGGTGAAGTCGGAGATGGTCATATGCCAGGTGAGGGAAGGATTCTGTGCTGCTTATTTCCAACTCCATGCAACAGGACTGTTAATCTTTTACTTCACAATCTTTCCACAGGAAGAACTCAAAATAAACAGCCTCCTTTATTCGTTACTCCTGGATGAAGAGCTGAGCACCAGAGAAGCTGGACTGCATTATTTTCTTGAGAAGAAGCGGAAAGAGAAGGTGAATGTAGTATCTGGATGATGAAGTGCCAGCCATTTTCTTACAGAAGCTGGTACTTACACACACAGATACTAAGTTTCTACAAATAACCCTCCCCACCTTTTCCCCAACCACTGCTGGTTGCAGTTGACCCGTATTAGAAAGGTGTGCATTTTGGGATGAATATTCATCTCAGTTCTTCCAGAAATAATTTTGTAAATATCCAGGTACTGAGAAAAGCATGCTGCTGTTTGTCAAATGCACCATATATTAGTATCCACTGTAACTTTTCTCATGGTCCTGATGATGCCTGTGCTAGAAGAAGCTGAACAAGTGGGTAGTGAATATTGCTGTCTGTTTTAGAGAACAAAATGATAAATTAGGACAAATCCAGAATAAATCTTCTGAAATTGCAGTTGTCGGTTTGCCCATAACTGATAAGCCACGTATAAGTGGATTAGTAACCAGAGATCAAAACAAACATTTCTGGAGCTATATGTAAGTATAAAAAGTCTTACAACAGTTCTACAACAAAAGTGTTGATTCCTATTCCCTGGAAGTTCATCTGTTAAGATGTCATGTGACCAGCTCTATACTAGCCCATTTTTTTCAAAATATTTTTTATTTTTCTATTTTTAAAAATAGCCCTTTATTATATTTGTTTGCCCACATTAAAATTAAAATATAACAAACAAGCCTTGCTTTCAGAGAAAAACAGAGTATAAATCTTCCTTATTATCTAGACAAAAGCTTGGGTAAAACAGATCAGCTTTCCACAACACCATGACATGTGGCAAATTCACGTTATCAGATCCATAAGGAAATCAAATTCCAGTCAAGAACCTTCCACTGAGGATAGCCTGATGACACTTGGAGACCTCTAGCTGATCTTACCTTTCACATTGTCCAGGGAAAGAGGCAGTCTCTTACCTAACTGGGAACCGGTATCATAAAAGATTAGGGATAGAAGAGACCTTAGAAAGTTGCATTTAGGCCAGCTCCTGCTCAAGAAAGGATCATTTTTGTCTAGGCTATCCAGAACTAGTGTTTTTCTAACCTGAACTTGAAACCTTCCCTGATGGAGATTCCACAATTTGTAGGTAATCCTTTCCAGTGTTTAACTATCCTCCTAATTAGAATGTTCTTCCTAGGGTCTAACCTAAATTTCCCTTATTGCCCATTAAACCCATTGCTTGTCCTATTGCTTGTGGATACAGAAAACAAATGATCCCCCTCAAATTTATAATAAGACTGTTATCAAATCCTCATTACTCTTCTCTAGAGTAAATAATCTCAACTTTTCCATCTTTTCCTGCTACATCACCCATCTTGGTGCCACAGGATCACAGGAAAGTAGGGTTGGGAGGGACCTCACTAGGTCATGTAGTCCAGTGCCCCTGATCAAGACAGGATCATCCCTGACAAATGCCTGTCCTGCTTTTGCAAGTTTCCAAGGATGGCGATTCCACAGCTTCTCTAGGTAGTCTTATTCCAATGCCTCACCACCCTCACAGACAGAATGTTCCTCCTAATCTCCAACCTCTGTTTCCCCTGCTGCAGCTTGAGGCCATTGCTTCTAGCCCCTACTGCCACAGAGTAAAGCCCATCTTCATCCTCTCTGTACCCTTCAGGTATCTGAAGACTGTTATCAAATCCCCCCTCAATCATCTCTAGGCTAAGTAATCCTAGTTCTTTAAGCTTTTTCCTATAAATCTTGTCTCCCAGGCCCCTGATACTTTTTGTTGCTCTGTGCTGGACTCTTTCCAAACTGCTCATGTCCTTCTTGAAGTGTAGGGTCCAAAACTGTACACAGTACTCCTAGGGAGGCCTCATCATTGCTGAATAGAGAGGAAGAATCACTTCCCTTGATTTGCAAGTGACACTCCTGTTAATATAACCCAGGATGCTGCTGGCTACAGATGTAATAAGTGTACACTAAATTATCATCCAGGTGATACTACATTGCATCCAGAATTGCGTAAGCAGCCATCACACTCTCTGTGTGCACTGGTGTAAGGTGCTTCCTGTGATCAACCTCATTAAGCACTTTGGGTATCTGAATTCTACACCTGCTGACCCTTCTGAAGGGTCATTGCATGTGGCCACCTATAGGAAGCATTGCAAGCATCCTGTCTAAACTTCACAAAGATGTGTTGTGCTAACTGCTTGCAGCGTGGGACCTGCTCAGGAGGCAGTTGCACTGGAAATAAATTAGCTTAATTGTTTTTGTGTGGAGTAAATCAAATGTACGCTTCAGTATGCTGGAATACTACTCTATACCCTTCTGCTATTTTTTAGTGCCATTACTGAAATCAGTTTTTGTTACAGCTCAGTACCGCAGAGGCAGTCCAGATTGCAAGAAGACAGGTTGATGCTTACAGAGAGACCTATGACAATTTGGTAGCTGAAGACAAGGTGAGAGTTCTAGACCTATGTTCAAGCAGATAGAATTACAGAAAACAGTGGCATTCAGTACAAAATAACCACCCACCAGAATATGTAGTATTTAGGTCCCAGTTCAGCAAAGCACTTATTTTTAAGCATGTGAGAAGTTCCATTTAGGTTAATGGAATATGATGGCAATGAGAATATACACATGCTAAAAGTTAAGCCATGCTTAAACGCTTTGTTGAAAAAAGGCTTCTGGGAGCACGGATGGTTTTCTTGGAGAGTACAGAAACCAGTGCCTTAACCTGATGGTCTCTCTCTTTGCACTGATACTTCTTGGGTCTCAGAAAGTATGCTTGTCATGGTAAACTTGCCTCTCTCAGAACTGACAGCTTTAAAATAAAATTAAACTCACCTAAGTAATGGACTGGAAGGTAGATCCCAGGACTTCCTAACATGATCCCTTCTTATAATTTGGTATTTTTGGGAGATATGGAGGCTGATGCTTTGCAAAATAATATCTCAGTGACCAGAGGCATTTTATTTTCTTGCCAGATTCTGGAACGTGGCTTTAGAAAAGAATTTTCTGATGTTCCTATGCATCTTATAGATCAGCTTTTCAAACTTTACAAACGTCGACCAAGGTAAAATCCCCCTTTGATTTGGACCATATCCTACAGCTGATTACCTTTGCTTTTGTGATAAATTCCAAAGTATGCAAGGTATTTTACCTACAAGCAAGAGACAGCTTTTCTCAACTTTTAAAATGGTACCTTTGGAATGATGATGATCAGCTGTCATATGAATGATGATTGCTATTTTTTAGCAACCATCTCTTCACTTCACACCAACTGAGTTACTTAAAATGTAGCCAAAATAATTAATATCTAATAAAGCTTGCCTTTTATCCTTTATAACATAAAGAGTTTTTTACAGTAGCTCACCAGAGGAAGTTAGGATGGGGAGTGAAATGACTCTAGTATACCTGGCCTTGTTCTTTCTACCATGAAATGCTACTTTTCCACACAATTAAAAGTCAGTGTTTTCTGTGCTGTGTTTGATGCTAGAGCCCAGAAGATGAAGATGCACCTTGACACTGCTAACCCTTACGGGGACAGACCAGGCTCAGCCAAAGCTTACAAAGATGCACTTGCCCATTTAATGAGAGCCATGAATGAACTGGATAACCCTGAGAACATGCCTGAGGGTTTAGACTTGCCTGTTTGGGAACGTTTCTGTTCTGCTCGGCGAACAAAAGTAGAGAGTGAACAGCTGGTATGTAAAGTGCCTTCTAGCAGATTTATTTTGTTGCTAATTGTTGGGAATATAGTTTCTTGTTACCTTTTATGTAGATCAGTTTTTGGGAGGCAAGGAGGATGGTAGCAAAATGACAGTATAGTGTAGGTGACTTGCATTTGATTCTCAAGGTAACTCAGCTTCTGGGAGTCAGCAAAATACTCATCACTCTTTAGCTTAATTTCTCTAGCACCAGATAAAAAGTAATGTAAATGGGTTCAAAAGAAACCATGCCCAGCTCTCCTTTGGAGAAAACAAGGGGAGAAAGCACACTAAAAATGACTGGAGATTTGGAATAGCCTCATAGGATTTCTCCTCAGACTCCTTTTCCCCTCCCCATCCTCCAAACAAAAGCAAACCATCAAGGAATATTATGTTGTCCTCCACCTTTAACTTGCATTTACAACTCTGCATGTTCCTCCCTTGCAAGAGCAAATCCTAATGCCGTTTGTTGATAGAAAGTTCTGTTAAGCTACTGGTTTAGTTTAAGATGATCAAGATTTAAACTTTAACTATTCAAATATGTAGCCCAGATCCATTTTGCATTGCTGAGAAAAGGAAACACAGGCTTCCTTACATGGGAACAAATACGCATCAAAGGGGATGGAGCTTCATAGAGAGGCTAAAGATCTTATTGAGGGATGATCCTAGTCAGGGATGATTCTGCCTTGAATAGGGGGACAAACTAGATGACCTTGTGAGGTCCTTATCAGGGCTTTGCAAAGCTTCTATCCCTGATTTGATTCAGGGAGACTCAGCTCAATTCAATGACCGAATCTCCAAATCTGAATCGAATCAGGAGACCCTTTAATCTCTCTGAATCGATTTGGAGGGTTCTGATTCGATTTGGAGAGATTCGGAGATTTGGACATAGACACAGCTTTAAATGTTTTTTTCTACATACCTCTAGGTAGCAGGGGCGTGTGAGTGCTGTGATTCTGGAGCAGAAGGAACACCCTACGGGAGCACAGGGGGCTTCCCAGCATGCTCGGGCAGCAGACCTGTAAGTGGACCAAAAGCACTTCCGATCCACTTCCAGGCCCACCAGGGAGCACACAGGGTGCCCCCTGCACCCCTCTGGCTCAGTCACTGGTGCCTCCTGGGTCTAGGGGGGTCCCTGGGGTCCCCCCATGGCCGATTGCCCAGCCAGGGGGGGCGTGTGAGCTCCCTGGAGGACCTGGAAGTGGACCAGAAGTACTTCCAGTGCAGTTCTAGGTTTGCTGCCGAGCACATGAGGGTGGGTGCTTGCACTCCTGTGGGATTCTCCATCCACCCCAGCATCGCAGTGTGCACGAGCTGCACCTGGTACCTCAAGGTATGTAGAAAAAACATTTAAACCTGTGTCTATGGCCAAATCGCTGATTCTCCAAATCTTCAGATTCGGCTGAATCGAATTGGGGACAGTGATCTGAATCAATTAATCAAATCACTGTCCCTGATTTGGGCCAAATCCAAATCGAAAATGCCTGTTTCACACACCCCTAATCCTTATCTGTCTTACTTTTGTATGATCCTGTGATTGTAACCATGTGACTCACTGACTTTAATGACACTCATACAAGCAGCCTATTTCTCCATAGATCTCTTCTAAAAATCTGTCTCAATCTGTTCTTGGAAACAAGGTTTGACTCTGTACAGTTATGAATCTGAAAGTGTTCAAGGAGCTGTCGTGTTGTTTGCTCAGGTGAAACGGAAAGCTTTGACACTAGCAGAGATGCAGGCTTTTCTCCAGAGAAGAATAGAGGATGATGAGAAGATAAAGAAGGACATTGACAACATCTTCAGTGAAGTCAACCTGTAATTTTACTTGTTATTCTTATGTTCACATTCATCCACATTTTAGCACCTCACTCACATAAAAATGTACAGATGACTTTAGTATCCCAATTTATCTAAAAGATGCAGGCTGTGTCTGCTGAAACTAGAAGGTTATGACTATGGCATGTGTAGGCATGCCTGAGATAGTTTCAATCCAAATGGCTCAGGTAGCAGCAGTAGTAAAAATGTGGCAGCATGGGTTTCAGTGCAGGCCAGCTGCCCAAGCACCCGTGTCTCCAGCAAGCTTGTCCACTATATGCTGCACTATGCGCTACTGCATCTTCAAGGCTTTTGTTACTTAAGTGATCTCAGGTGTGCGAGGTCAGGCGCAGTTACCCTTCCAGATTACAGTGTGGAGCTCAACTTTGTAAGGACCTTGCTTTCATTGGTTCAGACCCATAATGCTCTATTTTCTGATGCCGTCACTTAGTCAGCATTACTTTTCACTACCATTGGAAATGAGGAACCAACTCTAAGAGAAGAATTGATACAAAGGCATTTTCAGCACTTTTTCAATTATTCCTAGTGTTGCTTTTCAGTAGGACATCTCTCCCTTATAATGTTTGCTAGAATCTGCAGTGAAAACAAAATCCAGGGTTTAACAGCAGTTTGGAAATGAGTAGGATGGCACCCGTTCAGCACTCGCTGTAGGAATAAAGAGAAGGCTGGCATCCCCCGCACAAATGTAAAAGTAGTCATTGACACATACAAAAATACATTGACCTCTCCTCATTTTCAGCATCCTTTATTATCTTGCTCTTGCCCTGTGTTCATAGAGGAAATTTAAAGTACGAGGATGTTATCAATCACTAAAAACTGCTTTTGGTTTTCTGCAATTTTAGGTTACAGGAACAGAAGATGAGGTTTCAATTGGATTTGACTGTCCAATTTCTGCTTAAACAAGGACAGGTGGAACTGGAAAGCAGTGAGCTAATACCAGATTACACTGATGCTATTCTCATTAATAAGAGTGTTATTGAAGAACTGAATTGCACTATCCGGGTAATTTACATTTTCTGAAGGAAATTACTAGTTTTCAATGAATAATCTTCCTTTGAAGACTGCAGTTTTTCGCTAGTTTGACATCTAATATGTGACTAGTCTGTTTCAGCTCACTACCCTACACCAGTGGGCTCAGACTTTGCCAACATGTGGTTCTCAAAGCTATTATGAGTCCTGTAACACCTCTTACTGTAATAGGCCACTGTCCTCAGGTCTGATCAAAGGAATTCTGATTGATGGAAAGGCAGTGTTCTTGTGTGCTACATCCTTCATGCACATGCTTTAAATGGAGAATTTTAATATCTTTTCCACCAATCCTACAGCTCCCTCAAGCTCAAATGTACAATCATGTCAATAGGCAATTGAATGTTGGGTTATACTGAGAATTGCAAAAATTAAATACCTCTTTCTCATTTAAGGTGAAAGTCTAGGATGATACATAATGCATTTCATTTTTCATATGCTTATTAAAGATTATTTTCTCAGGCAGCCTACCTGTATACAAAAATGCTTTATTGCTTTTGATTAAAACAAAATTTCTTATACCAAAGCAAGCTCAAATATTGTATAGGTAAAATGATTAGTGCTGTTATGAGGTGGTGAATGAACGGATGTTGATTGCAATTTCTTTGTGATGCAGGGCTGTGGCAGCGTCCTCAAAAAACAGCAGATTCGATAAGACTACTGTCTGGATCAAAGCCTCTGAGAGCGATTGCAATAAGCTACATTTGCCCTGCTCAGATTATGACTTTGCAGTCTTGCCTATTCTGTTGCATAGATAACTATTCCATAACCCATAAACTGTGCTAATTAAAATTAATCTGTCTGCTTTTTTTCAGGCTCAAGGAGACAAGAAAATTGCTAGTATGGTGGAATGTAAAGACTTCTCTAAAGGGATATTTCAACTGGAATGGGAACATAAGAAAATGAAGATGCAGATGGAAGATCTAAACCAGAAGGCTCGAGATATTCAAACCCTGCGTGTGTCAAAAGATCGTCAGCTTGTACGTTACTCTCTCGAACTTCTGTTTTTATCCTGAGAAAAGTTGTGTTCTTTATTTTCCTGCATCTGCAGGTGAACCTAGCTCAAATTATGTCCACAGTTCAACTTTAGGGGGTAAACATTTGCTTCTGACTCTTCAGTGCAAAGCTAAAGTTATTAATGCCACATAGACTTGGCCCTAAGCCTTGGAGTAGCAATACTGGCACATCAGATGAGGAATGGTGTTTTTCCAAACGTAAGGAACTCTTTTTAAACAAAACAACAAAACATTGATCTTACGAGAAAGTTCTGAAGTTGGCCCTATCTAGTATCTGTCAGAAATAACACATCACCTACAATTTTTTAAGGCAAGTAGGCTATCTCTAATTTTTTTTCACTTCAGAAGGGGCAGCAAGAGGACTCTTATTTCTAAAGCAGCATATCAAAAATGCTGCCTGTGCACAGAAAAAGTTGTGCAGCAAAATCCAAACAGCAACAACTGGTAGTAGGCAGGATGAAATTTCATTGATTGATAGGGGTAGTTGCTGCTGCCCTTCATTGAAGGTAGTTGTAAGAGATGCCTGAATTTATCACTGCCCAAAATAGACACATACATGAATCTGTTTGGTACTTGAGCGCTCTGGGTGGAAAGGGTTGGCTGGGGGTTGTTTGAATAAGGATATCTAATTGAGAGAGAAGCAAGGAGAAGGGGAGATAACAAAAGAAGCATAAAGAGGACACTGCCTGAACTAGCAGCTGATTGCATCATTCTAAGAGAGCCTGAGGAACTCAAGCCCATTTGCACCAAAATAATTAGCTATTATTTTTTTAATCAGAGATCTCAAAACTATAGATTTTTAGACCAACTCCAATTCTAATGTATACAACCCCAGGCATTATAAAGAACTTTCTAGTCAAGCATCCAGATTTCCTTCTACTTGAAGCACTGTCTTAGAACAGTATGCTTAATAGTTCCTGGAAGCACTTAGCACTGTACAGGATAAAAATAAATGCTTTCTTGAGTCCTGTAGCAACTGTCAACCAAGGAGCTTGGAACACTCAAACCCAGCAGTCAGATTTCTTTGTCTTTAATTCTACAGTTCCTAAATGTACTAAACTACGACAGCCGCGTGAACCACCAGGTATCGGTGCTAGAGCAGACCCTTGGCATTATGGATAAGGTAAATTCTTAATGCGCTGTTACTGAACAAATAAACTGTTTTTATAAGACTCCAGTGGACTTGTCCTCTCTCCCAGTAACCGATATCCTCCTCCCTTTCCTCTTTCTCCTCAAAGGTTTAGCATTTGCTGCCTTCCTTTCCATCCCTTTTTATCCCTCTTATCAGGCTTTACTAAACTGCAGTGCCTGCTAATAGCATCCCTGCCTCTCACTGTCTCATTGGCTTCTTCGTTTCAAATCTTATTTTAAAATCTGCTTCTCTCAGGCCTGTACTCCTTAGTTCCTTGTCTCTCCCATTTGTTATATCAGAAGACAAAAAGCTTATTGGAATGCATCTTGTATGAAAGACAAAGTCATGGTGTACTGGCAGTCAAATCTAAAAATGAGTTGAGCTATAATGCAATGCTGCAGATGATGGATTTCCATATAACGTTTGTCTGAACAGCTTTAATAGCATCTCATACATTTGCTTTATTCTTTTGGAAATGGACAGCTGCACAAGGAGAAAGTGAAGAAATGTCAGAAAATAATTAAGGACCTGCAGAAGCGCATCAGTCTGAAGGAGCAAGCAAACTACAAACTCAGCCTGGAGCTGCAAGAAATGCTCGTGTCTGTCTCAGAAAGGCGGCATATCTTTGAGGCAGCTGGTGAGTCGCATTCTGTAGCCTGCTTTCGGTCTCAAGTAAAGAAGAGTTAGAAAGGACATCTCCAAGGTTGGAGTGCTGCTGCAGGAGCACTCCAGGAGCATGAGATTAAGAGAGCAGATTTGTTACACATCCAGTAGGTACTGCTTGCCCCAAAGAGCAATTTCAGTGTACAGGTTATGCCTGAACTAGAGATTTGCTTCTGTATTAACAGGGCAATTGATTATTGCAAGTGAAACCTGGTCTCTCTTCAAGTCACGCTTCTATTGGCAAAGAACAGGGCAAAACAAGCAGCAAAAATTGATTTACTGAGCCCACTCCCCTTAGCATTTGTTCCTGGGAAAGGAGAAGCAACATCAGGTTGCAAAAGCAAGTATTTCTATATTCAGGAACACTGTATAGAACTTCCCCGTAATAAAGTAGCTGGAGACAGGCTTCCAAGAGCCAACTCCATGTAGGTATTGTTCAATTTTGAATACCTGGCAATGGATTTCTCCCTTGGTACTGAGTTCTCTTTAAATATTGACCCTAAGCACAAGCTTCTTTGAAATGAACCACGTTCTACAATGTTTGTAACCCTGGGGCAGCACCTACCATAAAATGAATTCATTCACTAACATGAGCTATTCCTGATATTGTGTTTTATACAGACACACAACCGGCTTCTGAAAAGATTGCTAAGGAGCATTACCAGGATATTGTGCAGCGACGACAATTAGTGGATCTTGCAAAGGGACAGGCCCAAGAGATTGCAATTCTTCAGGCAGAAGTTGCAAGGCTGAGAATGAAAACATTCCCTGCCCTTTACCAAGTAGAGTATTAGCAAGAAAAGCTGCCACAGACGCAAGCAGCAAGGTAGCCTGCATGAGTGGATAGAAAATTCTCAACTAAAGGAGCTTTCAATATTTCTTCCTTAATTTACTATTTAAAAAATTTCACCAGTGGACAAAACCTTCAAGTTTGTTTGGTTTGTGTATTTTATACATAATCTTGTTAATTCAGTTCATAATGATGTTATCGTTTGACAGAAGCACAAGTCTGGTTATACAGCAGTTGAATACCATCTTCTTTGTGTGCATTTTGCGATCTACAGTACCTAATCCTAGGACATTCCAGAATGGAAGCAGCTCAGAAACCCCAGGGCCTTTACTTGCATCTTTTTAGAATGAACTAATTTGTCTTGCCCTGAGGTGTTTGTTTTTGTTTTTTAACTACTTAGCATTTTGACTTAAAAAAAATTCCAAATCAATAAAACAGCCTAGAGATGGAGGCGATTTTTTTTTTTTTGGTATATTAGTAAATGTACTTAAGATACCAGGATACCAGGCATCTTAAATATACTTTTCATAAAGATTAAAAAGGAATGTTTGTACTTGGAGTCATCAGCTAAGTCCTGATCTAAAATCCTATATTTTACCCCAGATTGAGGCCCCTGAAGTGAGGGAGGGAGTGGGGCTGAGGCTGGCATTGCCCAGCTGGGGTGGGGTGACGGACACAGCTGCAAGCGACTCATCTGCAGGGTGTGGAGGCAGCTCCTGCTGCTGCATGCATCCCAGGAGTGCATGGAAGGTGTGCACCCCCAGATCTGCACTGCGCGTAGGGCGAGGGCAGGCTGGAGCCAATGCTGAACTGGGGGCTGGGCCAGGCTGCGCTCTGGGCAGGCAGTGGCAGTGCTGAGAGTGGAGCTATGGGGAGGGATTCAGCCACCCCAAAATTCACCATAGCCCCCATCCCAATGCCACCCGCCCCAAGTGCAGCTTTGCCCACCCTCCCAGGAAGAGCCTAGAACTACCCCAACTCCACCCCGCCCTCACCCCATACGTAGATTTGGGGGAACACCCTCCCATGCCCTCCCAGGGTGCACAGAGCAGCAGGAGCCACCCCTCCTCGTGCTCCCTAGACAAGCAGCTCATGGCTCTATCCCATGCCCACCCAGGTTGTGCAGCGCCTGCCCCAGCCCCTACCCCACTCCCTCACTGGGGGGGCCTTGATCTGTCCCCCCCTCCCCTGCCACTTCCTTCCTCCCCGCGCCTTCCCCCACAACAGACTTACCAGCCCAACGCTGGTTTCCACATTGCTAGGCTGTGCTCCTGCATGTGGCATTTATCGGCCATGTTGGCCAAAAAAAGCCGATTGCCAATACTCTCAATTTTCCTCATATCGGTGCTGAGCTGATATGGGAATGACGTATCAGTGCACCTCTAATTTGAAGCTTTGCAAAAGAGGAACTAGGATAACTAATAAAATACCATTCAAATTAAGACTAAATATCAAAGAGAAGTGTGGGTTTCATGTAGCATCAGGTACAGGCAGAAAGGTAGGTTAGCGAGACATCTAAAGGCTTCTATTAGAAATTATTCTGTTTTTAAACACTAGAGTTTAAGTACTGCTGAGAACTAGTTCTATTGTAGTATAATTGTTTTTACTAATTAAGCATATGCAAATAGACACTTAATACTCAGAACACTGGCATCAGTTGATTGGCAGTAGGAAGACACTTGGACAATGGATGCATACTACAAACAAAAGGTTGAGCTCCTTCATATTTTAGCATAACTAGAAGCAGCAGATAACTTGAATCCATTATTTCATAATAAACAAGGCGATGTAATGTGTCAAACTGATCACCAGAAAAAGATGCAGCCAACTGTTTAAGTAAAATGTTACTAGATTTCATTTTCATATTTCTTCACGCTCAATGGTAACTTTCTCAAATCATCAACATGAGTTAATCTTCCCCAGAAAATAACTGCCTCTTACAGCACACACTGTATCTAATTACATGGCTCTATGAACAGTCTATTAGAACAAACCAGTACTGAAGCAGACGACTATGATGATTTAATACATCTGATCCAATCAGTTTATGCAGTCATTTTTGAGGGCACATTTTTGGAATGAGAGCTTTGCATTTGTTGATTATGTATTTATAAAGTCTTCCTCCGTTCTGCTGTAGTGTAGCAATTGGTCTTCTAATCCAAGGCTGTCTATCAACTGGGTGAGGCTCACTTTCTTTCCATCTGTAGAGAATGCTGATTGGAGCTCATAAAGCATCAACTGGGTGCTACTCCTCCATTTAGCTATCAAACACTGCAGTTCAGACAGGTTGTTCTGAAATGGGAACATTTACAGGGTTACACAAAATTACCACATTTATCCAAATCCAAGACAGACTTCAACTTTAAGATAACTCCCTCTCCCCTCAATAATTAGATTCTATATGTGGAAAATTAATAGATGTTATAATTTTCTATGTACAGAATGTGAAGGGGGGGGTCTTAAATTGGCTGCCCCTTCCTCCCCTCCGCTGTGGCAGGGAAAGCAGTGGCGGGGGGGCTGCAGATCACCACCCCTTGCCCTCCCTGCTTGTCCTCCCCATGCCCGTACCTGTCCCACCTGCCACTTGCTCCTCTGCATCTGGCCCCTGCCACCTTCCACCCATGTGTGGCTACCGCCCTCCCTACACCCTTCTCCCTGAACTCCCCTCCCTACTTACCTTCTGCTGCAGCTCTGCTCCAAAGCAGGCAGCAGCAGTGGCCCTGGCCCAGCCCAGCCTAGCCCGGGAGAAGCAGCAACAACTGCTCTGGGCCAGCCTGAGTCAGGTCTGGAGGGACCAGGCTGCTCCTATTCCCCAGAAAACTACAAGATTTAGAGTCCAGATAATGTGACTCCCATTTGGTGAGAGGGCAGCAGGACAGGCCCTATGAGGAGAGACTGAGGGACCTGAACCTGTTCAGCCTCAGCAAGAGGAGGCTGAGGGGGGACCTGGTGGCTGCCTACAAATTCATCAGGGGAGATCATCAGCAAATAGGAAGAGCCCTATTCTCCCCAGCACCACCTGGGGTGACTAGGAACGATGGTAATAAGCTGATGGAGAATAGGCTTAAGATCAGGAGGCAATATTTTACAGTTAGGGTGGCCAGAATCTGGAGCCAGCTTCCCAGGGAAGTGGTCCTCACCCCTACCTTGGGCGAATTCAAAAAGAGGTTAGATGATCACCTGTCTGGGGTCTTGTGAACCCAGCACTCATTGCTGCCTATGGCAGGGGGTCAGGCTAGATGATCTGTTCAGGTCCCTCCTGACCCTAGCTACTATGAAACTATGACCTATTCAGAAACTCTCCTCACCTTGGATCTGTACATCTTGACCAGTCTGAGCCTACGCAGCAGCTCTTCCTTCTCTTGGAGCTGCTTCACAAGTCTTCTCTTCTCCTCCAATAAATCCTGTTGATTTAGGCCAGGCCCAAGTGACACAGCACGTGGCAAATTCTGAACACATCCACAGGAATGGCCCTCCTGCAAAGGACTCTGCAAAGGACTACTTTTGGTGCAGTTTGCCTCCAGGCTTTGAGAACTGTCTTGTAAGGTGGAACAGGGTTCCTTTATGGATTGAGCGGCTTCTTCAGAAGCACATTCTTTTCCTTCAGCATCAACCTTAAGACGCTTTGCCACAATGGAACTGGAATTAAACGAGCGTCTTGTTTTCCTCAATCGCTCTCTAAGTGTCGCACTCATTGGCTAAAGAAAAACAGTAACAAAAAACACCAAAGCAACAAATAACTTGTATTAGCAAAGACACTGATTGTATTCGAAAAATAAGCAGAGGTGCCAGTCATTCTAGGTTTTGGATTTACCAGCTCCATTCCTATATGATATAAAACATCACTTATATAGGAACTTCACAACTGGTGACTGGGTGTGAAAGATTCTTGTGTGCATGTTGACAGAGCTAGGGGACATAGGAATGAGTTCTGTCTCCAGTGTTTTAGACTTCATTGGCATGTTAGTTTAAATAAGGACAGCAGGATTTTCCCCTGAAGTACAGGCTTTAATGACAGCAAGAGAATCTTCCTGGATTAAGGACCGTAGGATTTGACTTGTATGTTTTGCTCTAGTTCAACTCTCCTAGCCATCAAGAAGAGCTGCAGCATGCTACTGTTGGAAGGCTCTTTCATGGTGACGATAATGTATTTACTTGTAAGATATCAGCTTGGAAACCTAATGCAGGAGCTGCAGAGCTACAACTCAGGATACCTACCTGCTCCACAGAATTGACTAAATGCTGGGTTGTTGGTTTTTTTAAGTCTGTTTTGTTCCAGGTATGATCAACAGCATTAAACACTTTCCAAATGTAAAAGCCATGATTCTTATACCCCAAGAACATACAAACAAAGATAAATTAACTATTAAAGACAATATAATCACTATATGCAAAAGAACAATTAATAGACATTTTGGGAAGCAAAGCCAAGATGATACATAGGTGGGTAGATACATAGATAGAAACAAACACCCTTCTTTGTTTTTATGGAAGCAAAGTAGGAATGAAGGAACTCTTCCCACTACTAACCATGGCTGAAAGACAAGGATTTCAAGTTATTTATAGGATTCTCTATTTTTTTTGTTTTCCTAGAACAACATGCATCCTAAAGTAATCCAAAACAGTGCAAATGATAAAATTCTATTTACAGTAGCTTTGCAACATGTTTAAAAACCATTCCAATGAAAAAAATTCTTCTAGCTCTACTCTGCATGAAAGATCACATCACTGACTGAATAGAAAAAAACTACTTTTTCCATATACAGGTTTGAAAATTAGTTAAATGTATACTCTTATTACATCTTAATCAGACTCCCAATGCAGGAAGGTGCCACTAAAGAGGACTATGATGGCCAAACTAGGTTGTGAAGATGAATTTAAATTGAAGTAATGTGAATTTACTAATGTACATGACAGGCAACCTACTTCATTTCTCCAGCTGTCATAGTTATCTTGTGCATCCAAATCTTCAGATTCCTGCTTTGTCTAAAAAGAAAATTAGCTGATGTAGTAGAAACATTATTAAGCATCACCAGATGTGAAAGGAAACAAGCCTGAGGCCAAGAATATTAAATTGCTTTTAAATTAAAAACCCAGGGCAGAGATTTTTCAAACTGCTTACTGGTTTTAGGTGCCTCAAACAATTTGATACATCTTAGACGACCTAAAACTCAAAGGGTGTGTGCTTAGCACTCTCCAAAAACTGTATTTGTTGAGTTCTAGATTCAGTAATTACTAAAAAAAGTGGTGTTAATTCACTATGGACCATACTCTTCCCTATGAAGATTAGTCCATTAATTCCCCTCTACTGTGGACAATACTGTGCCACTAAAAATGCACGTGTCTGGACCATTTATGATTTGGTAGATAAAACTGGGCCATTTTTTTTGCCTGTGAGGGCCATATTCCAACTCAGTTA